ATAGATAGATAGATAGATAGATAGATAGATAGATAGATAGATAGATAGATAGATAGATAGATAGATAGATAGATAGATAGATAGACATGCTGAGTTATCTCTGTTAGATCTAAACTGAGTTAGAAGGCTGTTTTGATTTGTTGAATTTAGGAGTCCTATATTAGGTACAAGAAGAGATTGAAAAGTCCGTGCTTGTCAGTCGTGATCGAAGTATGCGGGACTTTTGAAGACAAAGTAGATTCTAACAAGCCCCGTTTTTCTAAACAGCGCAAGGTTTGCCTATAGTATGGCTGCCTGAATAAAAGTACACCGATGATCCGATCTTCATCTGTTTTCTGATAGTTTGTTTTCCCTTGAATACACAGTAAAAGCCCTGAAGTCTTAGGCACCCATTTGGAAAATAAACTGAACACATTAGAAGACGGCTTTCGATTCGAATGCCGGTTTGAGAAACTCTCAAAGCATGTAGTCACTCAAGAGGCCTGGATTTGAAGAAAAATCAAAGTACATGGGAAACGATTATGAAGGACTCCAGCAATACTGATGGGCTTTATTTGCATCAAATCTTATATTCCTTTGATTAAAGTTCGTGTTTAAGCTTTCTATGATCAACACAACAATGCTTCATATGTTTCATTCAGAGATGGAGATATTGCGAAGATCTATGGGAATAAGAAACATTTGTTGCCAAGTACACGCGATTTGATGATCGTATGTCAAAACAAACATTTGGAAATGCGACAAACCTGGTTATTCGTTTTACAGGAGGTACACTGGTGCGGATTCGTCATCTCGAAAAAGATTTGAGGAGTTATCGTTCTCACGAAGATAGAAAAAGGCAACTTATGAGTATATTTCATACGCTGTTACCCACGTGTGGCAGTAATTGCATGTTTTAAATAACTTTCAGTCACACTCAACTTTAACGGCTCACACCATTCGTGTTCCGGTTCAATAGTATATGGATCTCAATGGGGCGCTTCAAGTTAAACGACCTAGAGTCCATCCGCTTGCAAAGCCTGACCGTAGACTATGGGGATTAAGGCTCTACTGTTCCAATAGAACACACTAGGGGGTGGATAAAAGGCATGGAAGGGGACAAAAAGCATGATCAGATCACCCCTTACTGTAACTGACCATCATTCAGCATTAATCTAGAAGCACAACCTTTAATTTATCCAGTTAGTCCTGGTGTGAGCTGGTGAGCAAATTGGTGCCAGGGCTACGGTCCTTCACTTCTTTGGATATGCATGAATGATTCAATACGATGAGGACGAAAAAACACGACTTTAGACTCCATTTTAACCCGTTCGTCCGACTTCTACGAGCCCGGGGTTGCAGGCGAATTTCGGGTCTTGATGAGTAAACCGATTCACCAGCTGCAGCTACCTTAGGTGACGAGTCTTCCCGCGCGAGGAGGGTTACAGTCTGCCGCACCTCTGTCTGTATACATGTTGCTGTCGGATTTAACAAGGATTTATCTACAGTTTCCAACTATAAGAATCTGTATCCCTGAGCGAATAACCTTTCTCCTTCACAGAAACTCGGTAAGAACATAGTAAATTATCAGAGAAAATGATATACAAACTCAACTCAAAGTTAGTAGAGAATTTAGGCGAGGAATAAATGATGCTGTTTTGGCAAACCGGCGGACAAGCCCCGCCTTCACGTAAAACACAGTAAACTATACATACAGGGAATACTGAACTTGAGTTTTGCTCTTGATTGAGCTCATCACTGGTGCAAAAGTGATACTCCAGTCTAGAGCTTTCCGGGGTAAACTGAGACTTGTGTGTAAAAATGAAGATAGACAATCAAAGTCAGTAATCATTCAAACAAAAAGTAGTTGGACGTTGCTGTTACACGTAAATGCTGTCATATGTACATATGCAAATGATCGGCAGCTAGATTATCGAAGCCAAAACGGCCACGGAATGCGACCACAGGCGAGAACTACTAGATGCATTTGGTCGAGCTTACTTTGACTGATCTGGATGGTCCGTTCCAGCACCCTTGACCGTCATCAAACAGCATGACTGCGTATTTATTTTCACGAAGCAAATCGGCCTCCGCAAAACTCCATCCCTTCCAGCGACCCAAAGAGGTATCAGATGATGACCAGTCGCTACCTTTATTTCGTTGATATATCTTGTCGAATGCATAGAACCGATAGGTGTACTGTTTGTCTGTGAATTCCAGATAACCCGGTGGTTCTAACAGCATTCGGAATCCCTCGTCCGGGCCATAGTCGATCGGGTCCTCGACCCTATTATCACAACCGAAGTGAGGTAAAAATAAAAGGATAATGTGAAAGGATATGAAAAATTGACTGATCCGTTCAAATCAATAAATGACAAAACATTGCGCCTTCAATCTTCTCTTCTTTTACTTTACATCTTCTAATATGAATGTGCAATGATACGATTATCATCCCAACTTCAAGATGGTTGAAAAGTTCAGAAAAAACGCGCTCGCGTTTTGTAAGGATTCTAGCACGATAGGGAACCGTAGAATTTCTGTCGAGACTATTGCGAGGGTAATAAACGTGATGCGGAACGCCTTGATGAACGAGAGTGGTATTTAGATCGATCGTCACGTAAAGGGTGAGTGGAATCAGGAAGGATTTTCTGAGCGGGGGTTTCACATTGGTAGTAGGCGGCTCTGCTGTCGTCCACTACTAAGCGACCTATTGATGCCTTATGTGGTCCGCCACTCCAAGTTTTGGGTTAGTGGTTGCCGGTTTCCTCACAATATAAACATGATAGTTGTAATGTGCAGCCGTAGCGCAGCTATTTCGATTTGATAGTAAGTCATGTGCATGTCTCATTGGACCTTTGGTTCATGTTAGTTTGTTTTCCGTACCTTGCAGATTAATCGTAAAGGCCCTCTGGAATACGACGAACACTGTTCCTCAGTAATCCCCAGGATATCCCAGGAACACAGGTGGTCGGTCGTGTTAGCATTCGTATATCAAGTGCTCGGCCTTGGCGATGGATCACGGGTATTCGTGTATCGAATACCAGCCCGAAGTTATCTCGCGACTAAAGGGTAACAAGCCACATAACACCGTAAGCTCGGAGTGCCGTCGCGCACTACACAATACAAAATCACATGCTCTTGTCCTCTCTTGCTCGCTCTATGCCCTCACACTGGAAACAAGTACTCATCGCCCTCACCAGTATTCGCGGACTGAACCGCAATATCGATTCTCCATTCTTCTTCTCCGCTCGTCCCTTTTTCGACCGAAACAAAAATCTCCGCCTCTTCAGACACCACCCACCTGCAAGTCCCGAACTACACTCTCCATTCCTCCTTTCTACACAAAGCGAGTGTCAGCGCCTTTATCCATCAATGAGTCGCCGCCTCCAGGATTCCAAATCTTCACTTTTCCAATCGTGACTTCCAGCTGGTGTGGCTGTAACTCCGACTTCCTTCCGTTACTCATTACTTTTGTGTTCTATATCGTTCCCCCAATAGTTGTGACTCTTCCATCTTTGATTCTCTATCTTCGAACATGGAACATTTGTTTGCAACCGAACCCAACTGCCATGTTAACTACCATCTTGGGAGATTTTAATGTTCATAATCAAGCATGGTTGACACATTCATCTGCTACTTCTTCTTTGAGAAGCGCAGCCGAACACTTCGTTTTGGTCAACAACACGAGCCAACTAGTTGACCTACCCACAAGTGTCCCTGATCAAGCTGGCGAACGTGACAACACCCTCGGTCTAATTCTCACTTTGGGCCCTTCTTTCTTTTCAGACACTGGTACTCCCTCCACTTGGCTCATCAGATCAGTGCATTGTTTCTTGTTCTATTAAGTTTTCAAACCACGAGCCACCACCCACCTTGAGACACATCCTGGCGTTGCAACTCAACCGACTGGAACGGTTTCTGTGATTTCCTAGCTGCTTATCCCTGGAACGACTTTTTTTCTCTTCGGACGTTTCCAAATCTGTTTCCAACTTCAACGACATTGTTCTTCAAGGTACGCACCTTTTTATTCCGCACTTTCCAATCCCGGCAAACCCAAATCCCCCGGGTGGTTTAACCATGCATGCGACTGTGCTGTACGCCTATAACATTCAGCCTTCCGCCGCTCGCCGACTCCCACCATCGCTTCGTGCAAGCTACGAACAGTTGCTCGACGACCAGTCAGAGAACCAAAGAACGCTTCGTTCGCCGTAAAGCCGAAAACTTGGTCTCGTCTGACATCGGTAGCCGAACATTTTGGTCTCTTGCCAAAGCAATTTCTCGTAATTTCTGCTCTTCCAACTCCCTCCTGTCTGTAAATCCTTTGGTGATCTTGTGTGTCAAACACGAGAAAGCTAAGGTTTTTGCTCTCCAATTTGCCACAAAATCCACCTTACCCCATCTTTCTACCCCTTCACCTTCCTTCATCACTGGCAACCCTTTTCCATCTCATATTAACACTAGGGGAATTCGTCAAACATTGCGCTCTCTGAACACAAACAAACCACCCAGTCCGGACGATATTCCACCTACCGTCCTCAAAATGTGTGCTCCCGAGCTGGCTCTTATTTTCAAGTCGTCTTTTCAATCTTTCCCTCTAACTTTCTTCCTTTCCGACGCCCTGGAAACACGCTGTGATTTTTCCCATTCCCCAAAGCGGAGATCCTTCTGACCCCAACAATTATCGACCCATTTCTCTCATCTGTTTTGAAACTGTATTTGAAACTATTATCTCTGACCAGTTACGAACGTTCCTTGAAAGGGGAGGACTACTGAATGACCGCCAGTATGGCTTCCAACACCGTCGTTACACCGGTGACCTGCTGGCTCTTGTCTCACAATCCTGGTCAACTTCACTCGATAACCATGGAGAAATACACTTGGTCTCGCTTGATATCTCAAAGGCCTTCGACCGAGTTTGGTAAAAAGGTCTAATGGCGAAACTACCCATATCTAGGTTTAAGGCGCTCGTAGCGTGGATATCCTCAGTCAGCAAAACATCTACGTCCGAGTTGATGGGGTTCTATCTCA